CCCCAAAACCCCAAAACCCCAAAACCCCAAAACCCCTCTGGGCAGGCGGGCGGTTGATCTTTTAGACCTATTGAGGAAGTTATATAGCGTCACTGCCTGCATCACTTATTTCCTCCATATCCTCATCGTCCTGGGGTCTTTGATAATTATTCGCTCCATAGCTTGAATTTCTTTGAGATGAATGCTGAGGAGTCATATTTGTAGAAGATGGAGTCCCAAGCATTAAGTCAACACCTTCAGTAGGGATTTCATGAGTTGTTGGCCTAATTGCCACACCTTGACTTGCAGGTTCATGTAAATTAGCCATTTGTGATGGAGCTTCATTGGTGATCTTGAAAGTTCTCTTACAAATTTTTGAATCTAGCATTTTTAACCTGCATGCAACAAACCTGATTGTCATGAAAGAGATATCCTCAGGAATGATAATTGGAGATTTCTGGTTATCATACCTAATCCCGTTAGTAAATCCTGGAATGGTCCCATCAATAGTATAGACAATGTAAGATTTAGGATCATTAGTGTGAAGCATGACTTTCTCTCCAGACCTGATCATATTTGTATTACTCGGGTAGAACACAAAAGGCTTCTCTCATCTCTTTTCGCTATTTTGATGCAAAATAGAAGCATTCCATTGAATATTATGCACAAATGTTCTTGCATGAGGAGTTCTGATATAACTAATACTCTGTCCAAAGTTAATAATTTCCTTGATCTTTGGCTTGGTCAACTTCAGCAAGCCAGTGAAGGGTTCTTGGCTATTCTCAGGGTTCTTTTTCTATATATAGTGTATTTCAAAATAAATTTACTTTTTCCAAAAACAGGTCTGATTCTAGTAATTCTTGGAGTCCTTCAGTGAGCTCGTTTTTAGCTTTGATCATTTTCATAATTCTCTTCTTCTTGTGATGCATTATCTGCTTTCTGGTGTCTTTCTGCTCCTGGATGGTCTTAAGAGTTTTGATAACATTTCTGAGTCTGTCTAAGTTAATCTGGACTGCTTCTTTATTTTTCAGAAATAGTGTTGTGCATATACCTAGCCTCTGCGATTCTTTCCTCGTAGTTAGAACTGTGTTGGAGTGAAGTGAAGAATTCAAGAGTCTCTCCTTGGAGCTCACGAAGGTTCTCTTTGAGAGTAGTAAAGATATCTGACATTTTTAGATTATTTTTATAGTTTTTGAGGGATTTAGGGGTTTTGGGGTTTTGGGGTTTTGGGGTTTTGGGG